TATATATCTCATTTTCAATAAAAACCATCATAGACACAATACAATTGTTCTGACAAATTTTGACAGACGGACAGACACTGATTATGAATATATGAACTTTATGGGGTCTACGACGAATATTTAGGGATGTTATAAACGGAATGACAAAGTTAATACACTCTCCTTTCCGAGGTGGAGGGTATAAAAAAAACATTTGAAATATAACAGATGATCCATCAAAACAGCTATGAGTCAAATCTTAGCATCAGAACTATTTTGATGCAGTTTATTTCTGTTTACATTTTCATTATAAAACTAATAAATAATAAATTGCCTCTCTCATTTCGCTCTCACTTACTAGACACTTGGATAAACGAACAGCTGCCAGCTTACAGCTTATCCAAATTAACCGTCAACATTTTGTTTACCTTTCTTACTGTGATTTCAATCACAATAAATGCATTGACAACTAGTCTAAGCGATCAGCTGCAGCAAATGGAGCCCATATTGATTGTGCCAGGTAGAATACCTAATTATTATGCCATAGTTAAAATGTAAACACATGTTCAATGATGTGTACTCTACTTAAACGCCGTACGCACACATAATAAATCCAGTGGATTTCAACTGTCAATTCCATTGCGTATATGTTAAACGAAATCCATTGGAGAGAGTGAGAGTGCATTTGACGCACGGTAGAAGACAAAGCTATTGGGACAATGTACTGTCAAACCGATTTTAGAATTGGAAATATTGAATGAAAAGTTATTGAAAATTGTAAAAATTGTTGAAAAATGCATATCATACAACAACCTCCGATTTGCGTCGTTTTGACCAAGCATCAATCAAAAAAATTTGCCATATTAATGTTCCCAAGCGTCGATGCATCTATCTGTATTTTTCGACCATGATTTGACGCATGATAGAAGAATACAGGGAGTCGCATCGACACAGCTGTTGGAACAATGTACTGTCAAACCAATTTTGGAATTTAAAATTTTGAATGAAATATTATTCAAATTTGTAAAAATTGTTGAAAAATATTTATCATAACAACCTCCGATTGGCATCGTATAAGAAAACATAAAAAATCTACTTTGACTTATACGCAATGAGATCGACATTTGAAATCCACTCAATTTAGTAAGTGTAAACGTACTTTTACTGTTTTTTTTTTTTTTTTTTTTTTTTTTTTTTTTTTTTTGTGGGAATATCCACGGCGTAAAACGTAAAAATGAAATTTGTGTGACAAGGTGTTTACCTTACATTTACATATAAAATATTCCAACAGGCTTTGTAATCACATCTCTCTCGACCTTGACTTTGAACTGACTTAATAAATCTTTAGTAAGAACTCGACTCTAAATATCGTTAGATTTTTTAATAATGTTTTTTATTTCATTTGGTTTTAATTTAATGTGACTTGCAAATTAAATAAGTAACTGGCCAAGTAACTTATTTAATTAGTATTCAATGGCAATACGAAGTGTTTTAGGAATTTGCACTAAAGTAAACATTGAACCGAATGTTGTTGTTATTTAAATGAATATTGGAGTGTAACGAAGGCAAATGTGGTCGAAAAACAAATAGTGTGTCAAAAACCTATTAGGTTTATCTCTGTTTCTTAAATATTTTTAATAATTTTGCTGAGTGACATAAAACACCAAATCTGTTAAATGAGATTTTTTCAAATATAAACGATATTATTGTGCATTTCGTTGTCTACACATCAATTTGTCTAAAAAAATAGTTTTCGTATATCTGTCATTTTTTTATTATCTCTTGTGACTACCTAAACGTATTTTAAGTAGCCGTTAAACTTAACTTAAAAAATGCAAATGAAAACGAAAAGTGACGTTGGAATATTAATCAGAAACGCATCTGCATGATATAAATGTATAATTTATCGCATCTTTGTTTATTAACATTTGCATTTGTTATAATAAAAAATATATCAACTTTCGATTTGTTTGATTTACATTTTTATTCAAATTTAGTGAAGTATTAATTGCGAGTATTAACTCAATTATGGATTTATTTACATCAAAAATGACTTGCTAAGATCTATTGGCTAAATGTGAGGGGGGCATACTGGGACAAATCATGAAAATTAGAATAATAATGCTTTTAAAGTTTAACGGATTTGGTAAAAATGATGGAATGATAATTGTCAATTTCATTGCATCTATGTCACAGGAGTTTTGACAAATAGCTCTATTATAAACATACTATTAGTGTGACATCAAAGCATGGTAGAAGAATACAGGTAGATGCATTAACACTTGGCAACATTGATATATAAAAAATTTTAAAATGTTTTTCAAATATATCTCCGTCAATCGGAGGTAATTATAATTTTTCAAAAGTTTTTACAAATTTGAATAATTTTTGATTCAAAAATGTCAATTCCAAAATTATCCCAGCAGCTGTGTCGATGCGTTTACCTGTATTCTTCTAACAAATGGAGGATGAGACTGCAGACTGCTGTCATTTCTAAGCCACTCGTCCGACAGCTGTTAAAATTATTCTAGTGATAGCTCATTATATTGTTTACAAGCGAAAAAAAGCATTTTGGTGGGAATTTTACAGAAAAAAAGTTATTCGTGATGGAATTCAAGCGTGATAGTGTGATTTCTTAATATTTGGCTGGAAAACCACAAGCGGCTATTGTTAGAGCGCTCCAGCATTTAAATGTGAATAAATCGTTTGTGTATCGCACCATCGCTCGTTACCGTTATCCTGGTAGCGTAGCTCGACGTCAAGGAGGTGGACGGACGAAAACAGCAACATCAGCAGAAATGGTTCGAAACGTAAAGAAGCGACTTGATCAAAGCCCGCATCGCAGTGGCTGAAAAATGGTTCGTGAGCTGAAAATATCGCAATATTCCATTCGGCAAATATTAAAAAATGAGCTCGGGGTAAAGCCATTAAAATCCAAAATGTGCAAGAACTTATACCGCAACCGAAAGAAAATAGACTCCAGAGAGCTAAAGAGTTGCTTCGCTTGGTCGAAAGTGGTGTACTGCCGAATTTGGTTTTCTCCGTCTCCGATGAGAAAACATTCGTGGTCCACCAGTTTGTAAAGAAACAAAATGATCATGTTTACTTGCTAAGGAGGTCAGCTGAAAATAGGCGCCTTCGGTTGGCTACCGCAATTCAAGCGTCGGCCATGGTGGTGGTGTGGACCACAATATCAGCCGATATTCGCTCTCCGCTCGTATTAATCGACCGTGGCATCAGAATAAATGCCGAATATTATCGCGAAAATATTCTGGAGGGTGTATTAAACCCGACCTTGGACATTCCAGGACTCAGCACCATCGCACTCAGCAAGAGCCACCCAAGAATGGTTACAGAATGAGGTTCCCCGCTTCATTTCCAGCGCACAATGGCCACGAAAATCTCCGGATACCAATCCGTTGGACTATTGTGTCTGGAGAATTTTGGAAAGCAAGGTCGGCACTAAAAATACCAAAGTGTCGATCACCCCAAGCAAGCGCTTCGCCGTGAATAGGGCAAAATACCGCATTCGGACAGCGTGTGACGTTTTCATTGGCTGTTTGAAGGCCATAATTTGTGCCAAAGGTAACCATAAAAAACGTTTGGTGCACAAAGGCAAATCGGACGAAGATATGTATGGGAGCAATATCTAAATTTTGGCCGATTATTCAATAGGGGTCGTCTTTGGGTCAAACAAATGACTGGTGCAAAATTTCATCTGGATCGGGCAATAAATACGACCTGTACTTTGTTTACAAAAATACACGAACAGCCGGACGGGCATGTGACTCCACTCAGAATATGATTCTATGCAGATCATCAAAGGAACTATTGGTCTGTCTCGTTTTCTTTTGTCGGTTACAAACAAATGCACAAAGACAAAATACTCTGTCCACCTTTTTCTAAATTTGCATCTACCTGTATGCAGAGAACATATTAATTGTACCAATTCACTTGGTATGTGGGGGCTATGATAACGGTTTCTATAAATATTGAATGTTTTAAGGGTTAAGGTTTTTAATCGACTGTAAACTTTGCTCTCTACCAATATTTTTTTTCTCTCCGAGCCCTAAGGCATTTTAACTAAAATATTTATTAGCAAAGATTTTGCCGTTAACTCCACTATCCGATAAGCCTCTCACGACAACATAATATTGTAAAATGGTGAAAGCGTTCTTCCATTCAGATATTTTACGTAAACTGCTATTATATTCGCCAAAAGAGAACAAGGCCTTCGAAAATGTGGGTCATTATACATTTTTATTTTTATCGAATCTAAACCGAACTTATTTCGGTAAAGTCCAGAACCTGTTTTTTTCCAAGTCCAACGGAAAATAATTAAATTCGTGTGTGTGTTTTAGGTATACGCAAATTCAAATGAGTTTAAATTCTAATTGACATTGTTTTTGGAGAATATTCATTGGCACATGGTTACAGTGGGCGAAAAGGAACAAAACTGTAGTACTTTGTTATTTGTTTGTAATAATTCCACTTTTTTGCAATTGTTGTTCACAATTATTAAATCAAATATGATCATTTTGAACAATAACAAATAAAGTATTAAGCAATATTTATTTAAAATTTACTAACCCCTTGCTGATATGGTTGACCAATAATTTTAGATATGTATAACCTCTTATCACCATTACAACATATATTTTGTCATTTTTTTATAAAAAATAATGATTTTAACTGGACACATCCCCATTGTTTAATGGGTATTAAATGATATGAAATTTCTATGCCAGCCGTCACAAAAACTTAATTTATACATTTAACGAAATATATTTATATTTGCCGCACAAAAATTCTCGGCAAAATTAAAACATTCATTTCGCCATTTTTCATGAAACCATTCAACCCTGAAATACAATTCGTTCAAATATTCAGAGGTTCAAAAGCCTTTACATACTCATTTTGCCAATTGATGAAGATCGCTTAAAACGTAAAACACGATTATTTAGATGTTTTATTTTACAACAACTACAGCAAAATAATGATGGTTATTTTTATCTTTTCAGATTACAAAAACAACGACAACAACCACTTCTCAAAAGCTAAACAATGGGAAATCCAAAATCATTATCATACGACAGCAATAACATGGCTGTGATTGATTTAGGCTCGGCAATTATCCGCATGGAACCCGAGGAGCCGCCGCAATGGGCATTGGAAATTGCACGCAAAGAATTGCGCGAAACACCCGAGATTGCTGAGGAAGCCAAAAAGAAGTTGAAAGAATTGATTGAGGGTAAGTTGAGTGAAATTCCGATGCGTTACTTGTTATTTATTAAAATTGTATTTTCCAGCTGAAACTGAACTGAACTTGCCCACAGATGATTTTTATTTGAAAATGTTTTTGAGACCAACACATTATTACCCCGAGAGTGCTTTGAAAAGGGTGAGTTAATTCGCAAAAAAAAAAAACATATTTTCTATATGATTATTAAAATAACAAGTAAAAAAGCTGTAAGTTCGGCCGGTCCGATTTTTGAATACCCATCACCATTTTGAACGATTTTGGCAATTTTCAAAAAAATAAAATCCGTTAACAATGCTGCTAAACGACATGGACCTGCATGGGCAACTTTTGTCATAAGCCATTACTAATACGAAACTTGAAAAAAATCCGGTGAATAATGTAGCTAAAATCAATTTTCTGTCTTAGGCTGTAGTATTCATTGCGAACTTCAAATACCCAATTTGAAAAAATCGCTAAAATCATCAAAATGCCGAATAATGGGGGTTATACGAAGACCTGGACCTGCACAGACAATTTTCTGTCTAAGGCTGTATTATCCATTACGAACTTCAAATACCAAATTTGAAACAATTCCAGTGAATAATGTGGCTTAAATCATGAAAATTCTAATTATCCAGACAATTTCTGTCATAGAGTGTAGTATCCATTCCGAATCACAAAAACCAAATTTGAAAGAATTCCGGTGAATAATGTCGCGAAAGTCATCAAAATTCCGAATATCGGGAGGTACAATATGAGGGCTATACGAAGGCGGGGACCTGCTCGGACAATTTTCTGTCTTAAGCTGTAGTATCCATTACGAACTTTAAATACCAAATTTGAAACATTTCCGGTGAATAATGTCGCTTAAATCCCCAAAATACCGAAAATAGGGAGGTACCATAATATTTAAGACGTGGACCTTTCCAATACGAACTTCAAATACCAAATTTGAAACATTTTCGATGAATAATGTCGCTTAAATCAACAAAATACCGAAAATGGGGAGGTATCATTTGGGGACTATACCAAAACGTGGCCCATTTTCAATGCCAAAAGTCCTGCAGGAAAAATATACATTTTAGTAAAGTTTTATCAACCTAATTCATTTCGTTCGGAAGCTATAGCGATTTCCACAGACGGTCGACATAGAATTTTACGCTGGTCAAGAATATATATACTTTGTGGGGTCTAAAATGTATATTTCGAGGTGTTACAAATGGAATGATAAACCTAATATACCCTCCATACTATGGTGTAGAACCTTCTCCCCTGCGAGAAATATGGAAATATGTACGTCCGCGTAGATAAAAATACAATTGAAATCGAATCACAAAAATTTCCAAAATCATATATTGAGTTCAAGCGAAGAGACCTCTTCAGAATTGCATATGCCTCCCGTATTTTAGTTCCCTCTGAAACAAACTATAACTGCTCTAAATAATTTCTTTTGTTACGGGAGCTCTACAAAATATACACAGTGGGTGGTGTAGGGTATCACTGGTTTGTAATAGCTAATTCAAAAGAAACCGCTCAACAATTAGTAGTATATTTTTGCAAGGAGATATTCAAATGAAATCTAGAAATATCAAATTTATTTGGTTGGTAATTATGGTGTGCAAAATACGGAACATCGGGAGGTGCGATTTTCAACACAAAATATGCTTCGAGTCCTTTCGAAGTTTCATTGCTCCATTTTAGATGTTGCGGATTCGTTTGTGATTTAGTGGGGTCTCCCCGAATACATTTTTAGGGAGAAGTTTACTCTATGTAAAAACGATGTTATCTTGTTTTTTTTTTTTTTAACACGGGAGGCATACATTTTTCGCATAAAATAGTATCACCTCACATATTTTACTAAAAATCCTTTAGAAGTTGTCTATATCTCTGTATAAAATTTAAAGAGACCAATATTTATATATTCCCTTTCCTTTTTTCCAGATAAAACACTTTTACAATATGCTACAAAAATACGGCGAAGCTTGTCGTGATATAGTCCCTTCCAAAGTGCAACATGTCTTTGAAGCTGAGCTCTTATCGCTTTTGCCCAATCGTGATCAACATGGTCGTAGAATATTGATATTGCAAGCTGGAAGTAAGTAAAATAAAAACTAATTTAAAATATTGCAACAACTACAGCAGTAATTTCTGTCTTCCAACAGAAAAATGGAAACCCTCTGAAGTTTCGCTGGTCGATATGTTCCGTGGCATACAACTTACCGTTTTGGGCTCCATGGTTGAGCCATTGTCACAAATTTGCGGTGCTGTTGTCATTATTGATGTTGAAGGTCTACCCATGGGTCATATTATGCATTTCACACCAAATTTCGCCGCCATGTTATTGGACTATGTTCAGGAGTGTATTTGTGTGCGTCTAAAAGCTGTACACATTGTCAATAATTCGTATATTTTCAATATATTATTCAATATCTTCAAACCTTTCATTCGGGAGAAACTCAGGAAGAGGGTATGTATTGGAGAGTTATTCATTTTACAAATGGATTTTAATTGTTCTTATATTTGTTTTAGATTTTCTTCCATGGCAAGGATATGAAATCCTTGACAAAACACATTGATGCTGCTGTCCTACCCGCCAAATATGGTGGCAGTGCTACATGGGAAATGCCACCTGGCAAATTGTTGGGCGAATTTTTCACATCCTACACACCAGATTTTGAAAGTAAGTGCCAAATAAAATAATTCCATTTTTCAAAAATCTTATAATACATTATCCCTATTTCTCTTTTTTTAGAGGCCGCCAGCTATGGTTGGAAAGATGGTTACAAAATCAAAAAGTAATGCCCTGGCGTACCTTAAATTATTGTGTCGTTTTTTAGGTTCTCATCCCCACTAATTGTTAAGATGTATTTGTTTTCTTTATTTTTTCTAATTTGTATAGTATTTTGTGATATTGTTCGCATTAAAAATTAAGTGCATGTATGTTGTTTGATTGTTCGGTAGCAAAACATACCGATCTTAGTGCATACAAATTAAGTATGGGTTGTTATTTAATTTTGAAATTATCATCAATACAATGTTATATCTCTATCGTACTTCCTCTAGTTAATAGTGTGTAATAAAAGTGAATGAAACTCTGAACCAATGTAGTTTCCATATGTAAATACAATTGAATTGTTTTAATCTTTTTTCTTTTTGTTTTTTTTAATGGAATTTTTTTTATTAGGGTGATAATTATCTTTGTCTTATTTTTAACAAACACCGTAGAAGAATTTATTTTAGTTAAACATGCAATTACGTCATGTTACAATGAGTAAATAACGTAAAATTTAAACTGAAAAGAGAAAGGTATGTAAAAGCTAAAATATGGGCAGAAAAAAGTTACTGCTATTTTCTCTTCCTTTCGTCATACAGAAACACACCCTATAAGTTCTATACACCTTATGGGACACATTATAAGTTTTTATTGCCCAAGAACTAGGGTCTTAACCATGCAACAATTCATATACATCCACAATTATCTGAAAATGTAGATAATTTTTTTCGCATTAACTGATGCCCAATTTCCGTTTGCATATCGACGTTGTGCGAATATTAGACCCTAAAAAATAGATATACACTGAACAGATTAAATATTAAAATCGATTTAATTCAAACGAATTGATATGCTTGTCCAAAATTTTGCTTTTGCCCTTTGAAATATTTTACCTACATTACTATAAACAAGTAAAAAAGCTATAAGTTCGACCATGCCGATCTTTGAATACCCTCCACCATTTGGAAGGGTTTTAGCAATTTTCAATATCATAAAATCCGTTAAAAATTCTATTAAAATCTTAAAAATACCAAATGTAGTCGTTATATTAGGTTCTATACGACGACGTGGATCTGTCATAAACCAATACAATACTCAAATGCTAAACTTGGATAAGAAAATATGGTGAATAATGTCGCTAAAATCATCCAAATACCGAATATCGGTATTCAAATACCAAATTTGAAACAATTCCGGTAAATAATGTCGATAAAATCATCAAGGTAACGAATATCGGGAGTTACTATTACTATATGCAGACGAGGACCTGCACAGGCAATTTTCTGTCAAAGGTTGCAGTATCCGTTATGAACTTCAAATACCAAATTTGAAGCATTTCCGGTGAGTAATGTCGCTTAAATCACCAAAATACCGAAAAAGGGAAGTACTATTATATGGGGGCTATACCAAATCGTGGACCATTTTCAATACCAAAAGTCCTGCAGACATAAAACACTTTTGAGTTAAATTTTATCAGACTACTTCATTTCGTTCGAAAGCTGGAGTGATTTCCACAGACGGAAGAACGTCGCTAAATCGACATAGAATTTTATGCTGATCAAGAATATATATACTTTGTTGTGTCTAAAATGTATATTTCGAGGTGTTACAAATGGAATGACAATATTAATATACCCTACAACTACATACTATGGTGTTGGGTACAAAATTTTAATGTTTTCCCATATTTTGCAGTTTTATTGTTAAGGGCATTTCCGTTACTCATCTGGTAGAAGCCTAACCTAAAACGGGAAAATAAGCTCATTTGTTAATAGATAAATTCATATGTGGTTATACCAATGTAAAAGTAATATAACAACTCTCTTGTCCCTTACATTTTTAAATATCAGAGAGTGGAAAAGTCTTCAACTTGCCCAAAAGGTGTACTATTTTTACTTTCTAAGCTTTTGATTTAGAAAATTCCACAAAGGGTAAAGGCTATAGATTCCCGCAGTTATCTTAACCAGCCTTGTATTTGGATTGTGTTTTCTATTTCACCACAGTTATGATTACACCTGCGCCATCTACATATGAGTAATGCATAAAAATAAGCATTCAAAGTTTATTCTTATGTTAAATATCCAGTTCTGAGTTACATATTTGAAAATAATGTGTATATTGTAAACATAGCGCTAATAAATTTTGAGAATTAAAAAGCCAATGTTTTATTTAATTTGAAACAAAATTTATTTGCTTAATTTCCATGCTTTGGGAGCCCTTATTTGTGATGACACTTCAAAGTGAGTTTCTATTCATTGCAAATGCTATCAATGCAATGTGAATAGCCAAGAAGAACTATTGCATTTGGCGCAAATTTTGCGATGTAAACAAAGTGAAGAGTAGTTTGTTAAATTAAGAAAAATCGAAGAACTAAGCAATAAATTCAAGAGTTTATGAAAAAGAAACATTGTCTGATAAAAAATAAGTATCAAACATTTCAAAATGGATCAATATCCCGATGAAAATGAAGAGTTTGAGTTACAATATCAGGAGGAGCTGGAATTGATGGATGAATTTGCTGAGCAAAATGGTATGTGTTGCATATTCCACAATTGTTAAGATATCATAAATAATAAAATGCATCCCCATAGATTTTGTTCCTGCTTTGCCAAACAAAACTATTGTAAATCCAGCGCCTATCCTATCTCAGGGCAGTTTGAACTCTCCTCAATTGTCTCAAATAAGTTTCAATGCTGACGACTCACATTTGTCTTCATTGGGGGGTGGTGGGGGACCGGTTAACAGACGTCTATTTGGTACACCCAAGCAGCCACCTACTCGTGGAGCCTCAACACCTTTTGTCAGTAAGCAAAAAATGGCTCCCATTCAAGAGGTGTTGGATTTGAATGGTCTGGACAATGAAGACCTGGATATGGGACCATCGACTGCCAACAGAGCTCTCGAGGAATTGCAAAAGGCCAATAACAAGCGCAAGCGGTTAGAAAGAGATTTATTTGGCGATATAGGCGATTTGTTTGGTGATGATACCTATGAAGATCCAGAGGCCAAAAAAGCTCGTACTGAAGAGGAAAGAGATTTGGAAGCCATTGAAAAAATCCTGGAGACGAGGCGCAAGTTACGTGAACAAAGTAAAGCTGTTAGACCAGACAGTTTGGCTCGATTGGAAGCTCTACATGCCTTTAAAATGCGTAATCTATCTTATAATATACCACAGTGGCCGTTTTTGCCTTTGCGACGGAGTGATGATGAACGTGTTTATGTGCGCTTCCATTCAGAGGAATACGAGACAAAGGCCATCAATGAAATACATGCAGCCTCTGGACTTGGTGGTCTTCTAGGAGAGCATAAGGAGAAAATCTGGGAAGAAGCTAATGAGTTAGTTCTGAAAAGACTTAGCTCCAACAAAGATGGCGCGAGTCATGAACATGCCCCCATTGTTGTGGAACCTGTATCGAACGATGATACACGCCTTTGGGTGGAAAAATATAAGCCCCGCAAATACATTGATCTGTTGTCGGACGAAATGACCAATCGATCATTGTTGTATTGGTTGAAAATGTGGGACAAAGTTGTTTTTGGCAAGTACGACAATAATCTGCTGAAAATTATAAGCAAATTAACAGATTATTTAAATTACATTTTCAGAGAATTTAAAGCATTGCAGGCCAATGCTGCGAATAATGGCGAGATGAGTAACTTTAATAAGCGTACTGGCAAATTTGAGTCAAATGGAGGTTGGCGTGCCCGCAAAACAAAACAATTTTTAAATACCAATGTTGATGAAATGGGTAGGCCAATACAAAAGGTGGCTTTGCTATGTGGTCCTCCGGGTTTGGGTAAAACAACATTGGCACACACCATAGCTCGACATGCTGGTTACAATGTGAGAGAAGTAAATGCATCTGATGATCGTAGTCCAGAAGCCTTCAAGATGGCCCTCGAAAACGGTACCCAAATGTCTTCGGTAATGAATGAGAGCAAGAAACCGAATTGTATTATACTGGGTAAGTTCGAAAACATTTCAAATATTCCAAGAAAATTACCAAAAATACTATATTTCTGTTTCAGATGAAATCGATGGTGCACCACGTCAGTCAATTGAATTTCTGGTAAAATTCGTAACCGACAGTGTGCCTGTTAAGGGCAAAGGCAAGGGTGCTGGTAAAGGGGCTCATAATATTCTAAAGCGTCCTATTATTTGTATTTGTAATGATATTTATGACCCTGCCTTAAGACCCTTGAGACAAATAGCCTTTGTTGTTACCTTCCCACCAATTGATTCATCCCGCCTTGCTGAACGTTTAGTGCAAGTGGCGCAAAATGAAAGAATGAAAACAGATTTTGGTTCGCTTATAGCGCTGGCGGAAAAATCTGGCAATGATGTCCGCTGTTGCATTTCAACAATGCAATTCTTTAAGTAAGTAGATTTGATTTGAAATAGTAATTTAGTCTTGTAATAATTGTTAAATATTTCAGTGCCCAAAAGAAGGGTTTGACCCTTCAGGATGTGCTCAACAATAACTTGGGACAAAAAGACCGACATCAAGGCCTGTTTGAAGTGTGGGGTGCAATATTTAGGGTAAATTGAAATGACTATATTATTTTAAGTCGATGGAATGGGAATGAAGTATATGGATAATGAAGTTAAACATACTCAACTTCCATAGCTTAAATTTTCAGTTTATGAAACGGCTCAAAAAATTCTTGTACATACTTCAACTTTGATGCCTCGTATAGTATTCATATCAAGTTTCATAAATTTATAGTTTAGTCTCTATGGAAATTGAGAATTCCAAAATCCATCCTTATTAAAAAATTTATACAAATATTTTTTAATTTTTATTGAATTTTAGATTCAAAGGCCGAAGAAGCAGTTGACCCAAGCCAAAGGTGATGAAGAGGCTCAAGTCACCATGACAGATATGTCAATGAGTACCCGTGTGCGGCATGTTCTGGATGTGGTACATTCGGGCGGTGATTATGAACGGTAAGCCAATATTATTTATTAATAATATAAAATAATCAATTTTGTTGCATTCCTTACAGGCTAATGCAAGGTGTTTATGAAAACTATTTGCAACAAAAAATGCCCGATCCAAATCTAAATGGAATTGTCGAGGCTAACCAATGGTTTTGTTTCTCCGATACACTGCAACGACAAATACATCAGCAGCAGAATTATACAGTATATCCCTATCTGCAGTATGGCTTTGTGATATGGCACATGTTGTTTGCCTCATTGGCTTGGCCTAAAATAAATTTCCCCAGCAAATCGTTTGAGGTAAGATTGCATTTCATCTCCTGTCTCTCTGTATTCAATGGACCGTCTTTCTTTTGTATGACCAGGCTAGCATCATATCATTAATGTTTTATAATTCAATTCAACGTTTATGAATAGGTGCAGCTTTTTTGTTTGCCTTCTCTAAATGTCATTTTCATATTTTTTCAATGGGCTTTAAGTTGTATGAGCAAGTGTGTGTGTGTGTGTGTGTGAGTTGCCCGGCATGGTGTGTACAATTTTTAGCTTAGGGGCTGCATCGTCCTTAGGAAGTTTATAAGTAGATTTTTTATGATCATTTTAATGAATAAAATGCAATCAAGAGATTAAATGTGTAGAAACATAATGCAAACATAATTCTATGCCTGGTCTCGATGAAAGAGGAAACGGTGGTTGTTATTTGTTTCACATTCTCATTACACTTTGTAATTTCTTAAGCAGGGCTTTTGTGGTGGTCACACTTAACAAATGCTTGTTTACATTGGCATGTTTTTAATTACGCAGACTTTTGAAAGGCCTGCCTCTTTCCTGTTCAACGTTAATCGAATCGTTTGTAACTTTCATTTTTGTTAAATTGCATCCATTTTGTTTCTCTTTGTTATTTTTGTAGTTTAATCAAAAGCAAACCACACAGAAAAACATTTTCCAATCTTTGAGAAAATCCCTAACATGTGGTGCAATTGGTGTGGGTCAGGGTCATGTTGTGTTGCTGGAGACGGTGCCACTTCTCAAGAAAATATTATCACCACAACTGAGATCGGTGGCTGTACAATTGTTGTCTCAAAAGTAAGTTATGAATCTGATTTATTGAAAAATAAGAAATATTTAAAAAGAAATTATTCCTTTCAGAGAACAAAGTGACTTAAAACATTGTGTGGAAATTATGGCAGATTTTGGTATTACATATCATCAAGTGAAATCGGCCGAAGGCCCTTATATTTTCCGTATGGAACCAGATTTAGATGCACTGGCTCAATTCCCTGGTTATACCGGTGTCACCCTCTCCTATTTTGGTCGACAACTAGTAGCACGTGAAGTTGAATTGGAACGTATACATCGTTCGACACCCAAGGCTATAGAGCAAAATGACAAATCTCACACCCGAACGGATAAGAAACCTCAAGAACGCAAACCTTCAGCCAAACCCAATACCAATGCAACTTCACCCACAAATTTACCCAATCACTTGCAACGTTTAAAACCAAAACGAATTGAAAGTTCAAAGGCAGCTAGCGAAACGGTAAGTAGTTCAATCAATTTTATTCATTCCATTCAACATCAATGCACATTCATGAAAAAAAAACCAACTACGTGCCTGTCATTACAAATCAAACTGTTACAAAGAAAAGTGGCTAAGAGAAGCTAAAAGATGCATTGGATTTGCATAACAAACTACCGCTTGCCTTATATAACATTTAGTAAGGATATTTTGTTGGAATTTTGCTTTGTATGCATAATCGCAAATTGGTAACACCAACTGATGTTAGGAGCTGAACGAATTGAAAGTTTGAGTATTATTTTGAACTTATTGGCAAAGTAGAAACATTAAGTGGGCAAAAGATTTAATTATTTCCTGCCACTCTCACAAAGCAAACAGAATTTTGAATGGATTAAACGGCTTCAATGTGCAAATGGAAATTTTAGATATATTTGATATTATAACTGTTGAATAATGGATTTGAAAATATTATTGCTTTAATTCATAATTTTTATCTGGGGAATTTTAGAGGAATATTTTTTTATGCATACACTGTACATGTGTTTAATTTGGAATACATGTTTTATATATAATTTGTTTAATGAATTAATTTTTGTGTGCAAATTTTTTGTGTAAAAAATACTGATAAATTTTCGATGTAAAAGGATCTGGGTGAGAATATTTTTGCATTGGTTTCTTTATTTTGGCAATATGTTTTTTTAAACTTCTTCTGTTGTGATATATAACATTTTTGAATGCTTGAACGGAAAGATTTGCGTTATTGAGTTCTTTAATTGCTCTAATTGTAATTAAAATATTTTTTTATATTTTCTAGTATATTAAAATTATTAATTGAAAGCGTATATATTAAGAAAATTTGAAATTGTAATGTTTTCAATTGGTGCCAATGTTTACTGGTATAAAAGAACGTAGACGAAATTGATCCACAAATAGTACAAATTGCACTAAATTGTAATTTTTAAGCAGTTATATCAAATTGTTTGCAGGACAGTGTTGGCATGTTTGTTCGGGATACCGTAGTATTTTGCTCTTGCAAACTAGTCAGGCTTAATCTCATTATTGTTGTTTTTATAAAAAGAACGTTTGTTTATTAGTGGGGAAAGATGGTAAGGTTTACCAGGAGGTAATTGTCCGCTCTAACTCCAAATTAAAAAATCTAGTTACTTCAATAGGATAGCTAATTCATAGCCATATATAATTAAGGAGCGAGTTGTGTAGGTTTGGCTGGGCAGTTGAAAAAATGCAGCGTATGAATAGAGACTAATACAAACTGAAAACCCATACCCTTGTTTTTCTGGCATTGGTGAGAATTTTACTAGTCTATTGATCTAGAGAATCTACTATTACGTTGGACCTCACCTTTCTCCAGATAGTTGTTGTTGTAGCACCTCCCACTGCTGTTTTCGTCCTATTTCTTCTATAACCTAGTCTTGTGAGTGGGTTGGGCTGTGTAGTTACTGAAGTGCAGCGTGTCATGTGTGCTTGTGCCACATGTTGGGCATGTTGTCTGTCCACTGCTATCAATTCAGCCCAGTACGAATTGAAGAGGCTGCACCATCCGGATCGAAATTGTCGAGGCAGCTACCCCTCTTCAGTTTCAATTGTAGGGGGATCATATCTGAGTTATGGTATTCATTCAGTATTTCTCCATGAATTCTGTGACTGCATCAAAGTGTATACCATTTAGTCCTGCTTGATAGGCCTGCCGATATAGAGACTCTCTCTTATACCTCCGTACCTTTCTCTAGATCATGAAGGTCTTGTTTTACATGCCTGGGCGTCATGTTCTGGTGGTGGAGCTGATGTTCTACTCAGATTTTTATAACTCACACGATAACATCCAAGAATACGGAAACATCCGATCGTTTTGACTTATGGGAAGAGTCTTCGTCGGCTTATCCAGACAGGTTTGAATACTTCTCTACTGTCAGCACTAGTATTCACAGACCACACTTGGCGCATAACTAAACCTAGACCGGTCCATCGTGTTGAAAGAAATCAGCAAGGACTTCTGTGGGCTTGCGACTTTGTAAAACTTTTCCGCTATATCAATATATTAACTGGAGGATATTGGGATATTTTTTTATTCTTCGCTTCAAGATAGGCAGCCAGATCTATGATATGGTTTTCAACCTTACCATCAACAATATGATCCAGCGGAATTTTACCTACGACTGGTTTCCATACATAACTAAATATCGAACGTTTTAAACACGGACAAAGAATAGTTTTGTCGACACCATCAAACGGATTTCAATGCACGGTTTGTTTGGTTGAGTCCTTGACTAATATGTGAGGATATGGAACTCGATGCTATTGTGATACTACGTGGCTGAAAGAATCGATTTTGATGTTTTAGTTTTCTCTAATGACGAGGAGGAGTACTCCCTCGAAAATCTTCATTCCATTTTCCAAGTTGGGGCCTTTAGTAAAGTAATTGACTCCCGGCTCTTCTAGCTCTTTCAAAATTGCTATTGCAAATGCCTTGGGCCCAACCCAAACTTCTTAAATAATAGAAATTCAGTGTCCACAATTTTCACCAATTAAATAATAACCACTTCTAACTTCCAAATAGAACAGAACAAATAGAAAAGATTTTAAGAATGGAATTCGATTGATGTGCTACGACCATAAGGTGTACATCATCTAACCTCAAAGATTGATTAGTAGTAATCAAAGCCAGTTTACTTTTATCGAAAAGTGTCAGAAGCAACGACGCTGGGAGTCGGTAATGATTGGAGATCGGGTGTTCTTACTAGGGTTTCAGTGTCGGAGACGGTGTGGAATAATTTTGCTTGATTTGGAGTCCGAGTGATAAAAAAATAACTCGACTCGATTAAGATATATATTTCCCCAATTTAAGTTTTTAGTGGTTTTACCATCATTGGAGATAAAGGAAGTCCTGAGACAATTGGAAAATTAATATTCTTGTGGAAGAGATAGATATAATTCCAAACAACTATAATAAAAAATCCCCTGAAACTCTTCCAAATACATCCTTCAAAAAGACTGTTGACTCCACGTGGAAGATTTTCTTAAAACACAAAAAGGTGTTATATAAGCAGTTGCCAAATTCGTCCCAAATGGTGGAGGGTATTCAAACTTCGGCCCGGCCGAACTTACAGCTTGTTATTTGTTAGTTCTCAATAGGCGAGAATAAAAATATCGTTCGGTCAAATTTGGAATCTTAATGAGTAGAACACATCCCCGTAAAATATCTTGATTATAGGTCCAGGCTTTGCAATTGAAAGTGTCGCCTCCAATAATTTGGCGTGTCGAAGGACAAATATCCAGTATATCTATAGGTTACAGGACTATGAAGCTCAGTCAGTGCGACCTAGTAAATATACCATCAAATTGATAGGGGTAAGATCTAAATTGTACAGTTTCTCAAAATTAATTTGATTTCGTGGATCAAAGTGGATCGCATTTGTTTTTTTTTTTTTTACATAATGGACAATGTCATTGGTTGAGGATAATTTGAGAGTCTTAAATCGTACACCTGATTGTCAAACATAAGAAATATTTGCACTTCTCTGGTTTGAATATTTTCATAGGGTTTTTTTTTGTCCTGATGTTTGTTAATATTTATTTAAAAATTTTATTTCTTATTATTTATTTTCTTTTAATACTTACTGAGGATATAAATCACTGGACTATATTTGAGTAGTCTATTCTCAATTTGCATTTGTCTATTCTTTGTGTATTTGTTTAACGTTCAAATAAAATATCAAATCAAAATGTTAAAACTAATTTCACCTAAAGGATAATCAGTCGTGCATAACCTAAAAACATTTCAATTTACAAAAAAGAAAATATAATATTGGAAAATTGTTGGCTGGATAAATATTTATGTCGCTCCTCTCAAGGAATAAATTTATAAAACCATTAACTTGAGCCATAAAATTGAAATCAAATCTCAGTGTGCAATACGAAATAACCAATAAGAAAGTTAGTGTGGAATTTACTTGGGAATAAGGTAGGTTGGTTGGTTCTCGTTGGTTGGTTGGTGTATCAGTGACGACAATATCCGTTTGTTTTCATTTCAGTTAAAGAACAAAAAGAGAGAAAAAAACAAGCAAAACATACACAGCTCAAAGTTAAATTGGAAATAAAATTCTATTCAGACAAAATCAAAATAAAAAAAAAACAAAGAAGAAAGTTATCAAAACTAAGCAACCAAGCAAAACCATAACAGGACCCAGAGGCGGGCAATTGACAGAAAGAACACAGATGATGACAATGATGATGCGGATGATAAGAAAAAGTTTACAAAATATTATTTACAATTTGTTATGAAATCTAACAATGTTGGGAGTTGCCTCAAATCAAATGATACATTCTCGTAGAATAAGCAAAAGCAACAATCAAGGCTGATGATTACGATGATGGCACCAGGAATCATGAATGGCATTGTTTCTCGGGTTTACGTACGAATAATAATGCTATCAATTTCGTTTCGCAAACATGCATTTAGCACAACACTCACCTACCTACCTACCTACATAGCTCCTCAAATTCGTTTTCTGAAACAAATGTATGATTGTGTGTCTGTGTGTTTTTTTGCTTTTAGGTCTCTAAGGATTTCTTTGGACGCATACAACGTAAAACACCAGCACAAAAATTGGCGGAGGAACGTAAGTGGTGTATATCGTATTGGTTGGGTGGCTGGTTGGAGGGCTGGCTATAAAACACCTTCGTGTAAATCAGCTCAAGCATTGCAATGCAATAATTTTGTATTACATTTGTTTGTTTTGTACTGCGGGCGAGATCAGAATTGTATTGGTGTGCGCCTGCTTGCCATCCAGCCACCCCTTGCAACATTTTATTTGTTTGTTTAATACTAATTTTACGCTTCACTCTCATTTCTGTGTGTTTTTTCCAGCTAAATCTGATCCAATTGTCAAGAGTCCCATTTGGTATCGTTACAAGGAGGGTTTCAACAATGCCGTACGCAAGGATATTCACATGAACGAATTGTTGTAAAATGTTGTAAACAAACAATTCGCAACTGTGGCTATTTTAGTTTTGTTAAGTTTTTTTTTAAATCACTTTTATTTTTTATTGATACGAATAAATAATAATACTAACAATAATTGTAATGTTAAGGTATTTCGTTTAATGAATAAAGTTTTGTTTATTTATTCTTTTTTAATATCTGAAATTGTTGCTTAGAATGTTTGCAGCAAAAAATTGTAAATTTTTTTTTAAGTTAAAGACATGTTTCTCGGAATGTGTTTTTGTTTGCCTTTTGATGATTCAATTTTCATTCAGTTATTTACATTATGCATTTATTGTTGTTTGCATATTGTTGTTGTGGATTAACTAGCCGTATTACACAGACCTACATTATTAATAATGTTCTACACTATACTCGTGGTCAGAGAAATTTATATTTGCACTTAAAAACAAGTTAAAAAGTATCAGTTGGGTTTGCCGACAGATGTATAGGGTGAGATGAAAAAACTGCAACTAACTTCAGACTGCTGTCATTTCTAAGCCACTCGTCCGACAGCTGTTAAAATTATTCCAGTGACAGCATACAAAAGCATTTGGTGAGAATTTTCCAGAAAAAAACTTATTCGTAATGGAATTCAAGCGTGATAGTGTGATTTCTTTATATTTGGCTGTAAAACCACAAGGGGCTATAGTTAGAGCACTCCAGCATTTTAATGTGAATAAATCTTTTGTGACTCGTACCATCGCTTGTTACCTTGATACTGGTAACGGTAAAGGAAGTGGACGGAAGAAAACAGCAACATCAGCAGAAACGATTCGAAATGTAAAAAAGCGATCGAAACCCACATCGCAGTGGTCGTAAAATGGCTCGTGAGCTGAAATTGCCATTGCGAATGACTTGGGGCCCAACCCAAACTTATTAAATAATAGGAATTCAATGTCCACAATTTTCACCAATTAAATAATAATCACTTCTGACTACTGAATTTGATTTCAAATTTCCAAATAGAACAGATTTTAAGTATGTAATTCGATTGATGACCTACGACCATAAGGTGTACATTATCTAACCCCAAAGATTGACTTATATATTTTAACAAAGCCAGTTTACTTTTATCGAAAAGTGTCAGAAGCAACGACGCTGGGAGTCGAAAAGTAAAGAAGCGACTTGAACGAAACCAGCGTCGTAGTCGCCGAAAAATGGCTCTTGAGCTGAACATATCGCAATATTCCATTCGGCAAATATAGAAAAATGAGCTCGGGATAAGGCCATTGAAATTCCAAAGAGTGCAAGAACTTACAACGCAACAGAAAGAAAATAGACTCAAACGAGCTAAAGAGTTGCTTCGTTTGGCCGAAAGTGGTGAACTGCCGAATTTGGTTTTCTCCGTTTCCGATGAGAAAAACATTCGATGTCCAGCAGTTTGTAAACAAACAAAATGATCGTGTTTACTTGCCAAAGAGGCAGGTGAAAGTGTGCACCTTCGGTTGGCCACCAGAATTCAAGCGACGGCCATGGTGATGGTGTGGGCCGCCATATTTGCCGATGGTCGCTCTCCGCTCGTATTAATCGACCTTGGCATCAGAATAAATGCGGAATATTATCGCGAAAATATTCTGGAGGGTGTATTAAAGCCTAGGGCACCCAAAAATTTTGGCCGCAGACCTTGGACATTCCAACAGGACGCACTCAGCACGCGTTACCCAAGAATGGCTACAAAATGAGGTTCCACGCTTCATTTCCAGCGCACAATGGCCACCAAAATCTCCGGATACCAATCTGTTTGACTATTGTGTCTGGAGTATTTTGGAAAGCAAGGTTGGCACTAAAAAATACCAATGTGTCGAACACCTCAAGCAAGCGCTTCGCCGGGAATGGGCCAAAATACCGCAGAGCAACATTCGGGCAGCGTGTGACGGTTTCATTGGCCGTTTGAAGGCCATAATTCGTGCCAAAGATGACCAATTCGAACAAATCTAAACTTATTCTAAAATTTGATGCTATTTCCGACATTTTTTGCTTCCATTCAACTTGTTTCTCAAGTTTTGACAGCTAAAAGTACCAGAAAGGGTTAGCCTATATATATCATCTTCACAACAGATCTTGTGTTAGCAAAAATGTTTATGTTTATGAAATTTGAAGAGAGTTGGAAGCTTATTTCGCTTTCTTTGAGCGTTTTGTTTTTCAAAATCTCGAACCTTATATGGGGGAGGTACCAGAAGGAATGGTCCGATCTCTACAATTTTTATAAAAGATTTTGTGTTGATGAAAATATTGAGATGTGCCAGGCCTAAATGGAATCGGAGAGTCATTTCGCGTTTTATGAACTTCATGGATACTCAATTTTTGACCCTTTGTGGTGGAGGTGCCAGAAGGAGTGGAACGATATATTCCATCTTAACACCAGAACTTGGGTTAATAAAATTATTGGGATGTGAGAAATTTGAAGACAAAATTTTGACGCTTTGTGGGGAAGGTACTTGATGGAGTGAACCGATATTGTCCATTTTCGCACCTAACCTAGCACTGATGCAAATATTAGGATTTGCAAAGGTGTAGCATAATCTGATTATCCTTTCTCTTTCTGTGCAGTAAAATGTTGTTTTTGAAAATGTCGACCTTTTGTGTGGGAGGTACCAGAAGAAGGGGACCAATAATTCTTCGGACCTTCAGTATACTTAAAACTTTCTAGAGCATTAACCTCTATCGAAAAATTATTATAGGCATTCAAAACAGACTGTAATTTTAGACAATTATGTTTCATCGCAAGTTGCATCAATAAATAAGTGAAAATCTTTTTTATGGATCTCCTTATGAATAAAAGTGCCAAATAATTCACCAGACCGGACTGGTTGAAAGAGGAAAATTCCCATCAATTTATACAACAACGACAACATGTCTAATCTACTGAACTTTGTCTTCTTGTTGAAATGGAATATTTTTTTCGACATTTTGATCTAAGTCTACAGATTAATGTTAGCAATCGGCAGGTAAACGAATCGCAAATTGAAACGTCAAGTGATGAAACCAATCAAAAATACTTTTTCAGTGCATCCAAGCAATGAATGAGTCAATGACTTTGTGGCCGATCCCGGCAATTTTTTTTGTTTTGAGTCATTGACAGTAAATTCTGATATTCTGAAAATCATACAATACGATGTAGACCAAGCGGCTCATTAGGTATATTTCGTGTGGTATGTTCAATGCATTATACCAGAACAAATCGATTTTTTTCAGTATGGAATGTTTTTGAGAGCAGAGTTCGTTATACCCCCAGTCTTATGGCTATAAGACATACGTCAGGATGAGGGACAAGTACAGGGTTGCCCATATTCGACGGACCTTTGGGTCCATTCCAATCGACGAGGCTTGTCCGCAGGCAACAATTGCGTCAATTGAATTTTGTACGGGAACAAATGCAAATCAATGCGAATAATCCGTTGTAAAGTGGACCGAGCCATGCCCAACTGTTGAGAACGGCGTTTTTGGGATGTTCTTGGGAACCTCTCAACACTGGCTCGTACGGCAGCGATATTCTCGGCCGATCGCCTTGGTTGACTTTTATATGGCCTCTTCGGATTAGAAAGAGCCTTACCAGCCGAAAATTTTTCGTATAAACGCTTAATGGTGTTGTTAGAAGGCGCACTTCTCACATTTTTTAATGTTTTAAAAGCACGCTGAGTTTTCACAATTGACTTCTTCTGTTGAATGTAAATTTCAACTATTTCAGAGCGCTCGCGTGGCGTGTATTGGTTCATGGTAAAAATCTGCTTGGACTGACGCTTCAAACGCGGTATGTCATTAAGCGATGTGACATCTCTGTCAAAAGTTATGGCGTTGCCAGCTGGGTCCGTCGAATATTGGCAACCCTGTACCTCCCGAACAAAATGTCAACTTTTATAGACCCTCCACCATACTATGGAGGGTACTTATGTCAGACCCAACAAAGTATATATAATCTTGATCGGCTTAAATTTAAGTCAATTTAGCGATGTCCACCCGTCTGTTGTAATCACGCTAGAAAGTCTTAAAGTCGGGCGGGGCCGACTTTATGATACCCCACACCACTTTGCTAATTTAGTAGAGATCCACATAACAATTAAAAGTCTTTATTTAAAGTTCAAAAGACCAAAAAAAACCCGAAGCATTTGTATCTTTTAAATTCGGACTTGTATTGCCCATATCCAAATCTGAACCGATCTTTATAAAACTTGGCAAAGATATTTCTGAGCTGTATTTCATATATTTCCCTGAATATCGTTGTTACGGAGTGCATATTACGGCTGTGGGTAACAAATATAACAAATCGGATGAACAATATATATGGGAGCTAAAGCTATATCTGAACCGATCTTCACCAAATTTGGCGTACTAGCTTCGGTCGTAAGTGCCAAATTTCATGCCATTTGGGCAAATATTAGACGTTTGGTGCACAATAAAAGTTAAATCGGACGAAGTTCTATATATGGGAGATATATCCAAATCCGAACCGATCTCGATAAAATTTAGCAAAGGTATTTCTGAGCTGTATTTGATATATTTCCCCAAATATTGTTGTTACAGAGTGCATATTTCGGCTGCGGAGGACTAAAATAACAAATCGGATGTACAATATATATTGGAGCTATAGCTATGTCTGAACCGATTTCGATCAAATTTGCCATACTTATTTTCAGGCCTAATTTGGTTGTATGTGCAAAATTCCATACTATTCGGGCTGATATTACACGTTTGGTTCACAATAAAAGGCAATTCGGACGAAGATATATATATGCAAGCTATATCTAATTTTTTACCATTACAAATGATTTGTGCTAAATTTTATCTGGATCGGGTAATAAATGCGAACTGTACTTTGTTTACAAAAATATATGGACAGACGGACGGACATGCATAAATCGACTAAGAATGTGATTCTATGCAGATCATCAAAAGGAACTATGGGTCTATCTCGTTTCCTTTTGCCTGTTACAAACAAATGCACAAAGACATAATATCCAGACCACCTTGTGGTGTAGGGTATAAGAATACGTATGCAGGTCCACGTCTTCGTATCACCACGATATAACTGTACATCCCGATATTTGGTATTTTAAATTGCTTTAAATTTCGCATTTGAAGTTCGGAATCGGTACTACAGCCAATGACTTATGCAGATCATCATCGCCTTCGTTTAGCCCTCCCATATAATAGGTTTCATTTAAACGTTATTTTTCGACGAAATATTTTAAAATGTTTCCAAATTGTAAATCGTAATTATACCCTCCACCTTGGAAAGGAGGGTATATTAACTTTGTCATTCCGTTTGTAACATCCTTAAATATTCGTCTTAGACCCCATAAAGTATATATATTCATAATCAGCATAAAATTCTAAGTCGATTTAATAATGTCCGTCTGTCTGTCTGTCCGTCTGTCTGTCTGTCTGTTGAAGTCACGATACAGTCCACATTATCTGACGTAGAGCGCCAAAACTTAGCAGAGCTATTTGCATTGTGTCTAGGATGGTTGGTATTGAAAATGAGATATATCGGTCCACGTTCTGGTGTAGTCCCCATATAACGGTACCTCCCGATATTCGGTATTTTGATGATTTATGCCAGAGTTTTTCACGGATTTGTCTGGTAATTGGTATTTGTAGGTCGTAAGGGGTCCCTGAGCGTGTGGCAAAACATTGCATGTATGGGTCCATGATTTGGTATAGCCCCCATATAACGGTACCTCCCGATATTCGGTATTTTGATGGTTTTTGCCACATTTTTCACGGATTTGTCTAAAAATTGGTATTTGTTGGTTATAATGGGTTCCAGCTCCGGTGGCGAAACATTGCATGTATGGGTCCATGATTTGGTATAGCCCCCATATAACGGTACCTCCCGATATTCGGTATTTTGATGGTTTTTGCCACATTTTTTCACTGATATGTCTAAAAATTGGTATTTGTGGGTCATAATGGGTCCTAGTCCGTGTGGCAAAACATTGTAATTATAGGTCCACGTTTTGATGTAGCCCCCATATAACGGTACCTCCCGATATTCGGTTTATGCCACATTTCTTCTAATGTTTCTTTTACCCTAAGGTGGAGTGTATTAAAAGTTTGGCCCGGCCGAACTTAATGTTTTTTACTTGTTTTTTATCAAACTTAGATAGAGTTCGGTGATTGTCAATATCGGTCCCCTCCTTCTGGTACCTCCCTCACATACGGTCAAATTTTGAATATCCACGAGGAGAAAACGCGAAATTAACATCCGATTCCATTCAGACTCAATATTTCTATCAACACAAGATCTGTTATAAAGATGGTAGATATCGGACCATTTCCTCTGGTACCTCCCCCACAAAGCGTCAAAATTCTGAATTATAAAATCCGAAATAAGCATTCGGTTCTCTTCATATTTCACACATTCCATTATTTCTATTAGCACAAGGTCTGCTGTGAAAATGGGATATATCGGCGCACTCCTTCTGGCACTTCTTTTGAAAAACAAAACGAATCTTAAAACGAAAAAATAAAAATATGTGGAGGAGGGAGGAACTTCATCCCCCTATTTAGGTCAATTTAGGACGCAAATTTTCTACTTTCATAATTTACCCTTAATTATTTAGAAACAATTTTCTGTCGCACAGTGTAATTGAGTGTATGTTGCATTAAACGACAACTCTGATTTGAGACAATTTGTTTTGTATTAACGCCTGGTTACTCAAGTTTATATTTAAAATTCTCCCCTCTGACTGCAAATGTTTAGATCTGCTTCTGTAGACCAGTGTGCCTGTGCGTAAATAATGAGGAGGCGTTAATTTCATTGAACAAAATATTTAGAATAAAACAAAGCAGTGTCAGCGGTGGCTTAACCAACTAAATAGTTAGTCACTGGCTACGGCATAGAAAGCTGCTGCTGCTGCGACTGCAGTGTGGTGTAAGAGAAAAGTGCCTTCCACAGCTCTGCCTAGATTCGTGTGCGTCGTCAAACTTGTGGTTTGTTTCATTCTTTCCGTTGGAGATTTTTTACTGCTTTACGTATTGCTTGCTTGCTTGCTGATAAGAACTTCCAATGACCGCTCGTTCATACATTCGTCCCACCGTCCGACAGTCTGTCTGTCATTCGAAATCCCCTTCTGTAATATTCAAAGTGAAACAATTCATTCTCCAAGAAAGAGTAAAAACAGTTCAGTTCGTTGCGTCGTTTGGTTGATTGCGTCGTTAATCGCCGAGAAGCCGTCGATCAGGAGGAAGAAAAAAAAAACTATTTTCAATAAAACAATTTTCATTTATAGAAAACTAAAGCTAATTAAATTGCCGGTAAAATCCAGATTGAATTCTCGTTCGAAAAACAAAAATGATGACGAAATTCCTTCGAATTGTTGTTGCAGTAGCAATTCTTCTGCTCTGCGTTAATTCCATTGAATCCCGTAAATGGGGTATTCCAAGTAAGTGTTATTGTTGTGAGTCTTTTTGTTGTTGTTAATAAATCTGAAAATGTTTTTTTTTGTCTTAGATATTTGTCTACAACCTCCACCGCGCTCCGAAGGCGTATGTACTCTGGAAATCGAGGGCTACTACTATGACCTGCAGAAAAATAACTGCGAGAAATACACAGTGGGCGGTTGCCGTCTGACCGGTGGCCAAAGTTTTGGCTCTCAACAAGATTGCCTGGCCACCTGCATCCATGGAACCCGACGTCTTCAAGATATCCGACATGATTAGTTTTTGGTTTGTGGGCAGTTTATGAAATAAGTTTTATTAGTTTAACAAAATATAAACAAATAAATGTGAATCCAAATGTTGCAGTTGTAGAGAACCATCGATCTTATTGTCGAACCGGAGTATATTTGTATAGATATGCAGATTGTTCATAATGGCTCATGGAGCTAATATATTTTTTGTTTTTACCAAAACTACGGCCAAATTCTGTACAATGTATTAAAAAAAGTTAGAATGTATCTGTTGGCTTGGTCGACATATGCACACCCTCAACTTATGACCTCATATATAAAAACAGTTTGAAGTATATCTGACCATTCCGAAATTTCATATTAATTAAGAATGTTTGTGTCCAACGGATTGGTATCTGGAGATTTTGGTGGCCATTGTTCGCTGGAAATAAAGCGAGGAATCTCATTTTGTAACCATTCTTGGGTGGCGCGTACTGAGTGCGATGGTGCTGAGTCCTGTTGGAATGTGAAAGGTCTGCGGCCAAAATGTTTGCATGACCAAGGCTATAATAGACTCTCCAGAATTTTTTCGCGATAATATTCGGCATTTATTCTTGTTTTCTCATCGGAGTTGGAGAAAAGCAAATTCGGCAGTTCATCACTTTCGGCCAAGCGAAGCAACTCTTTAGCTCTTTTGAGTCTATTTTCTTTTTGTTGCGGTGTAAGTTCTGCACTTTTTATACCCTCCATGGAGGGTATATTAATTTGTCATTCCGTTTGTAACTCCTCGAAATACTCATGTCAGACCCAACATAGTATATATATTCTTGATCAGCGTAAAATCCTAAGACGATTTAGCCATGTCCGTCTGTCTGTCTGTCTGTTGTAATCACGCTATCTTTCGAACAAATTGAGATAAAAGGCTAAATTTTTGCAGGCGTGTATATTTTGCCAGTAGGCAGGTTAAGTTCGTACATGGACCATGTAGGTCTAAGTTATCATAAAGCCCCCATAAAACGGTACCTCCCGATATTCGGTATTTTGATGATTTTAGCGACATTATTTAACGGAATTGTTTGAAATAACAGAAAATGGGCCATGTAGGTCCACGTAAAACAGAAAATGGGCCATGTAGGTCCACGTCTTCGTATAGCCCCCATAAACCGTACCCCCGATATTCGGTATTTTGATGATTTTAGCGACATTATTTACCGGGATTGTTTCAAATTTCGCATGTGAAGTTCGTAACTTCAGCCCATGCCAGAAAATTGTCTGTGCAGGTCCACGTCTTCGTATAGCCCCCATATAAAGGTACCCCCTATATTCGGTATGTTGATGCTTTTAGATACATTTGTAACTTCGAATTCAGCCCTTTTTCCGTTTTTAACATACATTATAAACAGATTTTTCTTCAAGTTTCGCATTTAAATATTGTGATAACTTATGACAAAAGTTGCCTATGCAGGTCCACGTCGTCGTATAGGCATTCGGCATTTTTAATATTTTAACAGAATTTTTAACGGATTTTATTATTATTTTTTTTTGGAAATTGCCAAATTTGTACCAAATGGTAGAGGGTATTTAAAGTTCGGCCCGGCCGGACTAACAGCTTTTTTACTTGTTGGAATTTCAATGGCTTTACCCCGATTTTCTAATTTTTCAATATTTGCCGAATGGAATATTGCGATATGTTCAGCTTACGAGCCATTTTTCGATCAAGTCACTACTTTACTTTTCGAACCATTGCTGTTGATGTTGCTGTTTTCTTCCGTCCACTTCCTTGACACCGGACAACGCTACCAGTATCACGGTAACGAGCGATGGTACGAGATACAAAAGATTTATTCACATTTAAATGCGGGAGTGCTCTAACGATAGCCACTTGTGGTTTTCCAGCCAAATATAAAGAAAACACACTATCACGCTTAAATTCCATCACGAATATTTTTTTTTCCTGAATATTCTCACCAAAATGCTTTTGTACGCTTGTAAACAATGTAACGAGCTGTCACTGAAATAATTTTAACAGCTGTCGGACGAGTGGCTTAGAATTGACAGCAGTCTGAAATTGGTTGCAGTTTTTTCATATCACCATGTATAAAAGCCTTAAATAAGTTTCAAAATTTTTATATAAATTATATATTACAACAAGAAAGGTTCAAGTTCTGTTCAATATTAGTATGAGTGTTGGGCCGATGCCAAAAATGGACCATATCAACCCTCTCCATGAAGTACCTCCCCTACAAAGGGTCAACATTTTAAATAATTATAACTCTTAAAAAATGTGAAATAAGTGTCCGATTGTCTTCGGGTTTCGCGCATATCAATATTTTGACCAACACAAAATTTCGTATGAAGATTAAATTTATCGGACCACTCCTTCTGGATCAACATTTTGAATAATTAGAATAATTGTATCTCTCATAAAATGCAAAATACGCATCAGATTCAATCCAAACTTTATAAACATACAAATGTTTTTATTATTACAAGATCTGGTGTAAAGATGATAGATTTCGACACACTCCTTCTGGTACCTCCCCCACAAAGCGCCAAAATTTTGAATAAAAAAAAATCATAAAAAAGAAATAAGCATCCGATTCTCCCTAAATTTCACACATCCCAATAATGAAAGATCTGATGCTAAGGGGGATTGTATCGGTCCTTTCCTTCTGGTACCCCCCCAAAAGTTCAACATTTTGATTATCACTTATTCACATAAAAGTGGAAATAAATGTTCGATTTTCTTAAAATTTTGAACATGTCAATATTTTCATCAGTATTAGATGAAGGTATTCCACTTCACTTCGGTGTCTCATGCATATTCAATCATCTTACAAAGATTATCACATACCTTATAAATTGTAAAGGAAGAAGTCCATATATTCCAAATCTGGCACATTGTAAGATTAATATCGGATTTAGGTCAAATACGAAATGGACAATACTACTTCGGAACCTCCCCGCATAAAGGGTCAACAGTTTAAAAAAATCATAACACAAAGCTGAGGGTATACATCTGTAGGCACAACCGACTGATACTTTTTAATTTTGCTGATGCCGAGTCTCAAACTCACTCCAGACGTTACCCATTACTTGGTAATGCGAAAAATAAGGTGTGTTTCGTTACATTTTCTAAGAAATAACCCCTTATTTTAAAACTAATGTTATTTAATTTACTCAATTGTGCTAGCAAGATAGACCAATGGACGTAGGTAGATCCATTGCAAGACTTCTAAAATAGATTTTATCTAACCATACATGGACTCTAAAATTTGGCGCCCAATGTTGTATAACCCTCTCAATTACAAGGGGATGCATTCTTGCCTTGGCCATTTTCAGTGCCACCCATCAAGGCATTTATGTCCAGGGTTATTGTTTCAAAGGAAATTCCAGTTTGTTCTCATCTTGATATTATGGTTTGCTCTTCCTTTGCTGAGCATCTTAGTTTTGTCTTGTCATTTCCACTTTTGGCCAGTTTCATATTGACGTCTGTTATCGATGCTTTTGCTTTTGTTTTCGAAGATGAAATCGAAAATGAAATTTTAGATTATTTACGAGCAGACGTATCAGTAGAGGTAGCTTATTGGGTGTATGCAAGAAATTGGTAGGACATCATTCAAGTTTGCGAAATTTACTTTAGATTTACAATGCATAAGGCTTCTACTGAGATATTGATGAATGAAGAGAAGTCTATCTTAATTTTGATAAGAATCTACAATGTCAGCAACAGATGGCGGTAGTGATTTTTGGATCTATTAACCATGGTCTATATAGCTTTAATTTATTTGGAGCATTTTGTTTAAGTGACGACCTACCGCTCGACATGAATTGAATAAATCTAGACCGCGGTTAAACAGATTAACATTCACTGCGGGTCTTTCGCACTACCACCATCTGTTCTTACGACCCAATAATTTTTGTCAAGTAGTATACTGCTGTCATTTCTAAGCCACTCGTCCGACAGCTGTTAAAATTATTCCAGTGACAGCTCATTATATTGTTTACAAGCGTACAAAAGCATTTTGGTGAGAATTTTCCAGAAAAATGTTATTCGTGATGGAATTCAAGCGTGATACTGTGAGTTCTTTATATTGGCTGGAAAACCTCAAGTCGCTATTGTTAGAGCACTCCAGCATTTAAATGTGAATATATCTTTTGTGTCTCGTGCCATCGCTCGTAACCGTGATACTGGTAGAGTAGCCCGAGGTCAAGGAAGTGGACGGAAGAAAACACCAACATCAGCAGAAATGGTTCGAAAAGTAAAGAAGAGGCTTGATCGAAACCCGCGTCGCAGTGGCCGAAAAATGGCTCGTCGGCTGAACATATCAGAATATTCCATTTGGCAAATATTCAAAAATAAGCTCGGGCTAAAGCCATTGAAATTCCGAAAAGTGCAAGAACTTACACCGCTTCGGAAAGAAAATAGACCCAAAAGAGCTAAAGAGTTGCTTCGCTTGGCCGAAAGTGGTGAACTGCCGAATTAGGCTTTCTTCGTCTCCGATGAGAAAACATTCGTTGTCCTGCAGTTTGTAAACAAACAAAATGATCGTGTTTACTTGCAAAAGAGGTCACCTTCTGTTGGCCACCAGAACTCAAGCTCCGGTCATGGTCATGGTGTGGGCCGCCATAACAGCCGATGGTCGCTCTTCGCTTGTATTGGCATCAGAATAAATGCCGAATATTATCGCGAAAATATTCTGGAGGGTGTATTATAGCCTTGGGCACGCAAAAATTTTGGCCGCAGACTTTGGACATTCCAACTGGACTCAGCACCATTGCACTTAGCACGCGCCACCTAAGAATGGTTACAAAATGAGGTTCCTCGCTTCATGTCCAGCGTACAATGGTCACCAAAACCTCCTGATACCAATCCGTTGGACTATTGTATCTGGATTATTTTGAAAAGCAAGGTTGGCACTAAAAAATACCAAAGTGTTGATCACTTCAAGCATGCGCTTCGCCGGGAATGTGTCTAAATATCGCAGAGCAACATTCGGGCATTGTGTGACGGTTTCATTGGCCGTTTGAAGGCCACAATTCGTACCAAAGGTGAGCAATTCGAAAAAATCTTAAATTATTTTAAAATTTGATGCTATTTCCGACATTTTTAGCTTTCATTCAATAAAATTTAAAAAAATGTAAAAATTATGGCGTTTGACTTTGTTGCAGTTGTTTTATATCACCCTGTGTAGCTTGAATTCAAGTGCCGTCAGAGCCCTTTAAATAAATGCAAACAATTTAGACCGTGGCTGGATTTCGAGTTTTTTTTCGCACTACTGCCACCTGTTACTGACCACCCAAACTTCATTTTTGTCAAGTAGCATATTTGTCCAATGCGAGATCTTGAACCTGTGACCGTAAATAATAATACTAAAGCAATTCGGCTTGATGAATATTAGTTAGTACCCTGAAACTTTAATTTTCGGCACAGCTTCTACGCTTTTCGTTGATGTTTTGTCACGTATAACAATACATGAAGGGCATGGTCGGACATGGATCCCAAGTTCGTTCTGATCTTGACCGAAATTTAAAAATTTTAGTAATTATCAAAACATGGTTATAACCGGTTGCCAGGCGCTTATAATCAGTTATTTAATCTCTTTTATTGTTTGTTTTGCTTTTTTAATTCTGTTCTCTGATAGCAGATAGTATGGCGACATTAGGTTCGCCCCAATACAAATGTGATCTTTGATCTGTGATGGACCATTTAATGTGACATTATCTATCACACGACCAGAGAACATTCCGTAAAATAAGTTTCATTTCTTTTTTACATTGTTATGTAGTTACATACACCAACAAAACATACGGGTTCTTCAAAAAGTGTGTGGTCATGCATTACATACATGTGTGTGTGACAGTCCACCAAGTCAGTACCATTGATCTCTTCTTATCGCTTCCAAAGAACAAGAAGAAGCATGAGCGAGAAAAGAAAAAAAAAACAGACAACCACAAATCTCTGTTTTGAAGCACGAGTTTACGCTCTGATCACAGCGATCAAAGAAAACATCTAACAAAGAATGTCTATCGTTCGCCACTGGCAGGCCAAGCTTGTATTTAACTACATATGTATGTTCGGTTATCGAAAAAGCTCTCTTCAAATGTCTGCTGGTATTGGTGATGGTGATCATCCAGCAGCTGAGCGGCAGCGTAAAGCCTAAAGGAAAAAAAATAAGTATTAACGTTTTTCTGAAATCCATGGCATTACGCTTGCATTCGTGAGATTGTTCAAATAGTTGAAAGGAAGAAAACAAAAGAACAGCAACAAAAATAAAAATCGAAAAAAAAAAAAACATTTCAAGCGGGAAAAGTGAAATTCAAATGGGAAATCGTTTTCACTTTCGATTCATACGAAAATCAGACATTATTTTGTATTATAAAACCTGAGGCAACAGCAACGAAATATTGTGGAATTAAAAAAAAAAGAAGAAGATAACAGTGGTCCTGTGTAATAAAATCCTGCCTCCTTCCGTAAATCAGTATTCTTAACAACAAGCCAAAAAAAATATAGCCACCATGAATTTTATGACACTGTGTTACTTCCTGTTAGCAGTGATCGGATTTAGTGAAGCCAGATCTCGTAAGTGTTTATTTATATAACTGCAAATAGTAAAAAAAAAAAAAAAACAAAACGAAAATGCAATGAATGTTTAAAGAGAAGTCTGGAATACTTTCTGTTGCCATACTTGATCCAGTTTATTCGATTGTTATAAAACTCCTACCGTAAAATACTTTTCTTAATTGGTATTCTCAAAATTTCCTATTTTAAATTATTAGAATCTTTAAAGCAATGAACGTTTGAAATGGAGCATATGCTACTGTGTGTTGGGCGCCATATTCACGCCGTTTATTTAATTGTGATTTCGTGAATCAAAGCTTTGCCATTGTAAGCATTGTCCTGTCCTATTTTTCTTGTGATTTATTTGTATCCGTCTTAGTCCTTGCAGCGTAGTAAATGCCAGTGTGATCTCCAAGCATTGATTTTTAGTGATTTTTTTTTGCTTTGCAATTTCGCGTTCCCTTCAATTTTTTCGTATCTGACCTTTCATTGGTTAATTCGTTTTGACTTTACGCAAAAACGTTGGAATTATAATGAAAAATATTTTTTTCCTAAATCGGAAAATCTTGAAATCATGGTGTTTGTTATTCTGGGGGTAGTGAACTTGGTGTAAATTTATATTTATACCCTAAAACACTATGTTGTGAGGGTAATGATACCTAAAAAGTCACCTTTAAAAATTGATCCTTGACCCTCTATGTAATCATCTTATCGATCTTCCTATCTAGCCGAGCTGAGCCGATCTAATTTTGTGTGTCCGTTCATACGTCTGCCACACATTAATTTTTAACCACTCTACAGGTCGCAGTTATGATCCAATTTTATTGCATGGAGTTAGGGTCAGAATAGAAGCCTATAGTTTTGGAGATATTCTCAAAATATTTAGGCGATAAAATGTATCAAAACAGAATTTTTCATGATTTTTCAGTCACTCTACAGATCAAAATTATTGACCAATCGACTCAGAATTCTACATGGAGTAAGAGTTGAGGACACGGAGGATGCCCTGTATTTTAGATAGTCGTTGGTGGGGGACATGCCAAAACTTTTTTGTGAAAATTTTTAAAATTGTCCATTTAACCACCGATAGTTTTGATGCTGAAAGTCACAACCCGACTAAATCTCAAAATTTATAACAAGTAAGCAAAGGCTACAGTCGAGCGTGGCCGACCGTTGAATACCCTACAACACTATAATAAACGATACAGTTTATATAGGCGAGATACTCGAAAGAATTCCACAAGATATTGTGACAAATAATAAAAGAAAACCATCAGGTTTCGTTCTCTAATTTTCGAATAATAGCAACTTAAACTAATTTGCTCATTTCCAATTTATTGGTAGATGTTGCACTTAAATGGTCTCTGGAACCAATATTTCCCAAAGACCTATAATCTCTCAGAAAGATTAACATTTATTATTGGTTTTTGACTGAAACGCATCTATATGAGATACAGACATTTGGCTATATTCTTCAACGAAATCGGCGTTAACGAAATAGTCAGAAGTGCGTCTTTCCAAAAAGTCACTGGAATGGACATTTTCTTATTTTGTCTACAAAAGTTGGCAAACTATTTCACACAATGAATATTTTTGGATGGCCATCCAAAACTGCTTGGCTTTTGCAATGACCGGTAACACCCATTCAAATGTGCATGAGGATCGGGCGATAATTACGACCTGCTGGCAATTTTGCAGTTTTGTTGGTCCATTTCAACCGCTAAATATATGGCGATCATCTCCAAAAAGAGTAGGCTTCTATTCTGACCCTCATTTTATACCCTTGCAAAATTTCGTAAGGATCGGGCCATAAATGCGATCTGTATATCATATCTTGATATCCTAACTACTTAGTTTTGTTAGCTGTAGAAATATTACCAAATGTTTAATTCAAAATGAAAATATGCCAAAAATATGACAAAAATTGAAAAAATATGAGAAAATTTTACAAAATCAATATTTTCATCTTGAGAGAGATATTTTTATGCGATTTTTTTAGACGTTTTTTCTTTCCTGCCAAGAGGCCATTCTGAATTAATGAGAACTGTCGAAATCAGTTCAGCCGTTCTCGACATATATGAGATCTTTCAAGCATATCTTCTTTGATAGACACATATATCGCACATATTTTGCTATATATCCGATTTGTTGTATGTGAACATCAATGTAAAGTTCAGAAGTAACCTTGTCATGATTTTGTGATTTCGCCGGGATTTAAAATATTCGCGGTTTAATGAACAATATTGAATTTTTTCAACAAAAAAGATATGGTATATTTTACCCGCTAAATATTATCCGATGATCAAAATTGGTAGGCTTCTTCCCCGCCCTAAACTCTAGCTACATGCGAAATTCCGCGTCGATTGGTCTATAATTGCGACCTGTATAGCTAGTGCAAAATCCGACATTTTTTCAGTTTTTGGTCCATTTTAACCCCTAAATATTATGCGATCATCTTCAAAAGAAATAGGGTTCTATTCTGACCTTAACCCCACCTCCATTCTAAATTTCGTGAAGATCGGGCCATAATTGCGACCTGTAGAGTGATTACAAATTAACATGGACAGACGGACAGACGGACAGACGGACAGACGGACGGACGGACATACATAGCTAGATCGACTCAGCTCGGCGAGCTAGGAAGATCCATATATACTTTCCTATATGGGAAACCAATATTTCGAGGTGTTACATAAATTCTGGCCCAATCAAACTTATAATACCCCCAACACATAGTGTTGTAGGGTATAAAAAGGGCAATTCTGATTTTGAAATCGATGTTGATTTCGTTAAGGTATATAGAGAGAGTTCTGAGTTATAGGAAACTATATACCGGAAACTACATTTTCAAGTATTCCCATTAGAATGACAGACGACATATTTATAGCGCAATTGCTAAGATATCGTTGATGATCCCGTGGATCCTGTCAGAAACCAAGCCTTGACTATATGACATTATTTCAAGAATGAAATGGACCACAAACAGACATAGACGTGAAATGTCTATCGAGTCACTTATATCACTACTGGGAAAAATTAGTTTTGAATGTGGACTTTTTAGAGATCCTAGCTTCTTAGAATATATAAGTTTAAGATCTATGAGGTTGATTTCCAAGGAGGACAATATAATCATAATATCTGATTTTAAATTGGAAATAGACACATTATTTATAGCACCTAATAATCTGATATTATTATATAATTGGAATAATTTTTTGAGTTATTTTTAGTCTCTTAATATATTTTACTCAAAATGAATTAAGTTACGAACATTTGCGGTAAATTTTAGTGTTCTACAGTATCACATGGTCGGCTTTCTCACTTGCTTTTTTAAAGGATTGCTCCTATCCTATTTAGAAACCCTTTATTACTGTCTTTCAATAGTTTGGAGTTTTATATTAAATCCATCTGCAATAAAACTATTAATTAGGTCCATTGGCTTCGATTAAATTCTGGCCAGTTGATTGGCCTTAGGCTCTAACGACATTGTAATGTCTCAAGATATCTATTATCCTCTCTTAGTGATGCCGTCGATTGGGCGCCATTAATTTTTACTGAACAATTAGACACCTAAGAACGTAGCAATTTTTGGCGGTTTACGATTACAGCAATTTTTGGCGGTTTAAAGCCAAATAATCTGAATAGCACTTTGGAACCAAAAGTCATCCACCTTTATTGGTTCATAAGAGCATCCACGAACATAAATAAGCATTTCTATGGAATATGACTACACGAGATGTTCATTTTTTAATCTCAAGAGCAAAATATCTAAATTTGAAACCGACATTGAGATCAATATTAACAAAGGAAGAAAAAGAGATTATTGCTTTTGTAAACGCCTCTCTTGTGTTTTTTAAGGTCAGATTATGGACGACTGCTACAGCAAATGTGTTCTCAGCTAAGTGCCCCTGCCTAGCCACATAAGACAGTTGCGTATATTATCATGTTTATCTCCTGGGCAGTTATATCGTAACACTTAAAGTGTGGTTGTTTCTAGTTGTAAGAATTTGGAATATGTTGGGCGCCAACAGTTTTCGCAAATGGCCTAAGTTCACAATCTTATTTTAGAATTTGTACACCAATTACCAGATTCAGTTGGATAATAAGTAATTTGTGGTAATGAGTAATTTTGATTCCACACGAATCGTGTTTAGCGTTTAGAAAGACATATTTCGGTTTAATGTTGCTTGTGCGTGCACGCTTGCTTAACGTTGGGCGCCATTTCCCCCAAGTGTAGCAAAAAATATATGATTTGTCTCGAGGGTAGCTTGCATCTCGGAGTTAATCTAAAATGGGTATTGAACGTTCAACCGTGAATCTTAGGTTAGTAAGCATCTACATCTGTGAGATCATGAAATTTTCAGACCATCATTATAATATCTGTCAAATTTGTATCAATAATCGAACAGCGATTTGAAGTTCTTTTCACCATTAAATGCGGGGATGCTACCTTTTCAATGTGCTCGAGGATTAATTAAAATTTACTTTCCTAGAGGGGAGACAATTTCCAATATAACACCAAAACTCAGTGGCGCCAAATATTATGAGGAAAACTTCTCCTCCTTTCGAGATGCCGCTAAAATCAGATTTTTGTATTCTCAAATTCGAACCATTCGAAGATTTGCTTCCGAAAACTCTTTCTTCATCATGAGTTCATTTTCGTTATTGGTCAGTCTTTTGACAATTCGTTGTTCTGTTCTTTCAGTCCAACAATGTTCATTTTCCAGTTGATGTTTTCACCATACTGGCTCACTTGTAGTGGTAATTTTTCATTTATTCACTCAGTGTTATATGAAAGGTGTCCGAGTTATGTTCATAAATGGGCCATTTCCGTCGCCGTTTTCATACAGCGAATCGCTTTAAATTTCGTATTTGAAGTTCGGAATCCGTACTACAGCCTATGTCTGTAATTATGCAGGTCCCTGTCTTGGCATAGTCCCCATATAACAGTTTCCATTTAACTGGTTCACAGATTTTTTTTTTTGAAATTATTTAAGTTCCTTCCAGCCGAATTGACCGCCTACTTATAACTTCGTTCTAACGTACCTTTCGTAATTTTATCCCATAGATCGAGGCTTTAAACTAGTTCACATGTCAATTGAAATAGTTTATATTATATTCTTTTCATTTCCTGGGTTAGCTTTCCAAACATAATATTTCTTCCCGAATTTATAGTGGACATTTACATTCTTGTTTCTTTTTTAGTCGAATTTGTGATAATATATTTTTCTCATTAATTCAATAGCTCATCGATTTGGATGTGTCACTCGGATATCTATTTTATCTGAACATAGTTTCCAAGTTCATTTCAGTGAATTTTTATTGACTGAGCTCGTCAGTTTAAAGGTCAGTTTGTATGATAATCATTCCGCAGAAGAAGAAGATTTTACAAGTCTACAAGTGATACTCAGTCTATAAAAATCTCTTTTTGTCCACTTCGTTCATTTATTGCACTGCCCTCATTCCGTTAAAAATTGCCAATATTTGTAGTTCTGCAGAGTTAACATTTATATGCTTCCATATGGTGTGTCTTATGTGTCCCTTGACTACTCCGGTATCGAATACTCAACGTTCATTGCATTTTTCACATGTTCGATTTTACGTTTTTTTTTTTTTTTTTTTTTTCAATTTTTACCAATTTAAATTCGATTCCCTTATCAGGTCCTGCCGTTGACATTTGTGATCGTCAGCCCACCATTACCGGTCTATGCTTGACATCTACCCTGGGTATTTATTATGATGCTGAGACGCAACATTGTCGCTATGTTGGCTGCAGTCCCGATAAGAAGTTGTTTACCTCGCTGGAGGATTGTGAGAAGATTTGCAATAGCAAGAGAAGAAGGAATCGTCGAAATCGCCAATCGAGAAATCAAATATAGATGGCGCAGCAGGCAGCCAATTAGTCAACTATGACGGATACCAAAGATATACTCCTCCTAGACTACACTTTTGTAGAGTTTTAAGTTAAACGACGTGTATTACCGATGACCCTGACTTAGATTTCAAAATGCCGTTGCAGTTGCAATTGTTTTTGTACAGTTTCGGAGTATTGATGTTATTGTTGTTGTGTGTGAGAAGAATAAAAAATATAAATAAATCGTAATTTATTATTTTGTAGATAACGAACGAATGCAATTTTTTACGTTTTAATGAAGTGACCGATTTAAAAGTGAAATGAAATATGATTTTTAATTAATAATAATTAATGATTTGTTTGCCTCTTTTTTAAATAATTATTACTGCTATTGTAAAGATTCATCCTTAAAATGTTATCAATAGCTGTGGCATTTTAGTTCAAAAGCGTGTGGTAATGTAATTATGTCTGATGATAATCTGCACCTTTAAGGGAGCTGCGGAAAAGAAAGTGTACCAGAAATTATTCAAAAATTCATCCAAAAAAATATGTACTAAAAATTTATTAAAAATTACAAATCCTTTTAATAAGTTGACCTTTTTATTCCCTCCACCATAGTATGGAGGGTATATTATGTTGGTCATTCCGTTTGTAACACCTCGAAATATACATTTTAGACCCCACAAAGTATATATATTCTTGATCAGCATAAAATTCTATATCGATTTATCGATGTTCGTCCGTCTGTCCGTCTATCCCTCTGTCCGTCTGTGGAAATCATTCTAGCTTCCGAACGAATTGAAGTAGATTGATAAAATTTTACTCAAATGTATATTATGTCTGCAGGACTTTTGGTATTGAAAATGGGCCATGTAGGTCCACGTTTTGGTATAGCTGCCATATAACGGTACCTTCAGATATTCGGTATTTTGATTTTTAGCGACAATATTCATCGGAATTCTTTCAAATTTGGCATTTGTTGTTCGTAATGGATACTACAGCCTAAGACAGAAAATTATCTGTGCAGGTCCACGTCTTCGTATAGCGCCCATATAACGGTACCTCCCGTTTTTTTAATTTCGCATTTGAATATTGTAATGGCTTATGACAAAAGCAACCTATGCAGGTCTATGTCGTCGTATAGACCCTAATATAATAGCTACATTCGGTATTTTTAAGGTTTTAACAAATTTTTAATAGATTTTATTGTTCTTGGGAATTGCCAAAGCCGTTCCAAATGGTGGAGGATATTCAAAGTTCGGTCCAGTCGAACTTACAGCTTTTTACTTGTTAAAATTTGTTTGTATTGAAGTCGAAGTAGCCCCAAAATTTATGTCTTAAAAATAAATTTAAATTTTCTCCGTAATTTCCTCGAAGATTATATTACATTTAACCACATACAATCACATCGAAGTAGTGTACCTAATAACCATTATCCTCACAACACTTTGGACAAACCACACATGCAGCAGCACTCACACACAAACACACACACACACACACTCACCCACCCACTCACATCTTCTCAAAAATTCATAACTAATTCACATTATTTTTCGCACATATTTCCCTGCTTATCATAATTCCAACAAGGGCTTCCTAGCTTTTCACTGCTGATGGAATTCTTTGGTTCTAATTGCCAATGCAATTATGCAGTTTGCAATCGGCATTAACATAATTAACACCATTGCCATTGGAATGCCGACTAAGCGGTCCAGGGCGGAGACTGGGAAGGAATATGGGCCCTGCAGTGTCGAAGAATGTTTTGAATTTTACATTACAAACACCTGCACTTGTGCAATTACAACTTAATTAATATTAATTAATTTAGTTAAACGACTAATATCGAAATGGTCATCACATATGTGTGTGTGTAACGGGTGTATGTGTGTGTGAGTATTTATGTAGGCACACATAAGCCAAACATGCTAAACCAAAACACATAAACATATTTATTTATGTGTAGTGTAAATAGGTATTTAATAACAATAATAATGTGAAATTGTTTATTAGGGTGTTCATTCTTTATTTTATTAATGTATATTAGGGTGGGTCGATAATTATCTAAAATCTTTAAAAATTTTGAAATGTGTTGCAGTTTTGCACAAGAACACTTAGCTAGGATGATCTGACATTTTCTTCTCATTATTGTGCAGATCTTTAATACAGGTATTCCACAAAAAAATTATAATAAACCAACTACATCCCATATAGAAATAACAAATAGACCATCCATGTCTTATATGAGAAGATCCATAAATAGCATGTTAAAAGATCAACAAATTTTTTGAGATAATATCCATAGATTGTCTACGAGACTATCGGCAGATCTATAGATCATCTACATGGAGATCTGCCTATCTTCTAAGAAAAGATTCAAGAAATTTGGATATATTGTTGAGAAGATCTACAGATAGTCCAGCAGAGGATCTACAGATGCAATCTAATGCGAAGATCTACAGATATATCAATACGATCAGCTTCAAAGAGATCTGTAGTTTTTCTACCATGACATTTACAGATCTTATGTGTATGTACTAAAAGGTCTACTGATTTCCTAGGAGAAGATCTAAAACTCTTCCGTTCTATCTATAAGCAGATCTTTTAAAAAATTATCCTCATATCTTCTACCATAAGATCTACAGATTTTTTACGAGAGGATTTGCACATATTCTACCATCAGATCTACACATCTTCTGTACATCTATGAAAAGATCTATAAACCAGAAATAAGATCTACACATTTTCTACGTGAAGATCTTTGTATACCAATGTGAATAAGAAGATATGTATATCATCGATAATCTATAAGAGGATCTACACATCTTCTATGAGAAGATCTACAGATATACTTTTATAAATTGTATAGATCTTCTGTATATTTATGACAAGATACACGGGTCTTCGAGCTGATCTACAAATCTTCTACAAGAAGATTTTCTACGAGAAAAATCTTATGAGACATAGGAAGACCTACAGGTCTAAAGGGAGATCTACAGATCTTCTGCTAGAAAATCTATAAATCTACCATAAAATTACATTACGTATCTAAAGAGGGTATATATCATTTGATACGGTCAAAACGTGCCTCGTCGAAATAACGATTTTACCCCTAGGTCTCTTTGGAGCAAATCCGTTTTAGGACATTTGGTGTCGATCTAGCGACTAGGTGCTAACGATTACTCTCGAAGGGAGTATTTGATTTGGTTCAAACTTGGCACATCGTAATATTATTATCAAACTTAGATCAAGTTCGGAGATGGACAATATCGGTCCACTCCTTCTGGTACCTCCCCCCACAATATTGACATTTTCAAAGACAATATTTTATTGCACAGAAAAAGAAAGGATAATCCCATTTTGTTTCACCTTTGCAAATTCTAATATTTCCATCAGTGCTAGGTCAGGTGCGAAAATGTACAATATCGGTCAAATCCATCTGGTACCTTCCCTACAAAAGATCAACATTGTCAAAAAATTATTTTATTGCACAGAAAGAATGATTCGATTTTGCTCCAGCTTTGCAAATCCTAATTTTTCCATCACTCCATAAAGTACCTATCCCCCAAAGTTTCAAAATGTTGAATAATTATAACTCTTATAAAATGCGATTAAAGTGTCCGATTGTCTTCAAATTACACACATCACCATATTTTTATTAACCCAAGGTCTGGTGTGACGATGGAATATATCGGTTCACTCCTTCTGGTACCTCCACCACAAAGAGTCAAAATTTTAAATATTCGAGAAGCTCATAAAATGCCAAATTAACATCCGGTTCCATTCAGACTTGGTACATCTCAATACTTCTATCAACACAAGATCTGTTATAGTGATGGTAGATATCGGTCCATTTCTTCTGGTACCTCCTCCACAAAGGGTTAACGTTTCGAATATCCAAAAGGATTATACAATCCGAAATAAGCACCCACTTCTCCTCATATTTCACAAATCCCAGTATTACTACTAACTCAAGATCCGCTGTGAAGATGTGGGTATATCGGTACCCTCCCTCTGGTACCTCCCTCACAAAGGGTCGAAATTTTGGATATCCATGAAGCTCATAAAACGCAAAATTGACCTCTATTCAGACTTGCTACATCTCAATATTTCCATCAACGCAGAGCTGTTATAAAGGTGGTAGAGATCGGTTAGGGTTAACGGATGGTATAGATCGTTTAGGGTTAAGGGATAAAGATGGGCCTTTTGGTAGATATGTCATAAAGAGATGGTTTTGGAAATGAGTACTACAAGTGCACGAAAAGTAATAAATAGTACCATATTTGGTACAATTGGGTTTTGTGTAAGCAGGTAGTGCTTAAAATCTGAAATTTGTTATTAGGTCGCTGTTCATGTGTAGCGTAGACTTATGAATGTGGTTTCGCAAATGCATAATATAATTGTTCGAAAAGTACTGAATGGTACTATTTTTGGTATAGGTTTTCAAAATTCAAAAATTTGATATGTGATGATATCTGTATTTGAGATTTGGCTGTGGTTTGAAAATGCGTCCTATTTTGCATGAAAAGTACTAAAGGGTACTAAATTTTGTATTGGTTGAAGTTTGAAATTTGATATTGAAGTCTCTTTTGGTATCTGGAATTGAGATATGTAGGTGGTTTGAAATATGTACTATATAGTTGTACGAAAAGTACTATTTGATACTAAATTAGGTATTAGGTGTCTGTGGTTAAGATATGGATGGAGGTGGTTATTGAAATGTGTGCTATAATTGTTCGAGAAGAACTAGGTGGTACTAAATTGGGTATTGGGTGAGGGGACAAAGCTGAAATTCTGAAATTTGTATCGAGGTCATTGTTGGATTCTATGGTAAACATATAGAGACGTTTAAAAATTGGTGTTGTTGTAGAAGGTAAAGATTTTCCAATTATTCTTAGCAAGAAAGGAAACCCTTAAATAATCTATAAAACCTTGAAAGTCTTAAAATTTTGTACGATATATGAAGATTTAATTATAACATTTTGTCAAACTGAGCAAATTGTGCATTTTATGTACCTAAAGAGGCCTTCCATAAACTGTTGGAACTGATCTATAATTTTAAGATGGACTTTTCGCTGACGAAGTAGCAAGTACTTGCTAGTCTCATATATTTTCCATAGAAATGTTTATGTGAATTATTAATTATTATTATTTTATGTAAATTACTACAAATTGGTTTTGTCTGCCCTTCAATGTTAGTAGCCCCTCCCCCACCACAAGCTTTGCGAACAGTTCGACAATAAAAGTTGTTAAAATTGAATTTTACTTTTGTTGTAATATT